AATACTTGCAAAATCTGTGGGTAACATTATAATTTATTATATGCAATATTTCATCTATTTTTACTCTCCGGATAGGTTCGTTGAACATATGAATACCCAAGTGGAAAGGAATCTGGAGCGTGCTCAGCGTGGAGGTGTACCTGGCACAAGAGGGCTTGTTGATGCGTTCCTCAAGGTGGTGTTGATTTAGCTTGTCATTTATCCACTCGAAGCAGTATTTGGAAAGTTTTCTTGTAGATTGGAGCAGATGATCCATTCGCAGAAGATGGAACTGTTGGAGGACTGCCAGTTTGGGAGGTGCGCTTTGAGATTCTGGATCTGTTATAGCTAATTCTAGTCGTGTAAACATTTTACAGGTGACATACCACTGCTTGCGAGCTGGAGATCTTGCTGCTGCTAAAGACGCTCTGGAGTTATTAGCCAATTTTCCTCAAGCTGCTGTTCTTGTTGCTAGTTTGAATCATTTAAGCAAGGAAGCCAAGTAAGATAAACATTTTGCGTTGCTCTTTTCATTTTCATGCTTTCAATAGTTCAGGCTTGACGTGGAGCTAAAGAAGAAGCTAAAGGTCGAATGGAGACATAATTTGAATTCCGCAAAAGACAAGTATAAAAGAGGCCTTTACGCAGCTCTGCTGGGGATGGGTATGTTTCAAGAAGAAATCCCAAGCTTATCTTTTAAAACGCTATAAAGTATGCATCAGTCAGATTCCAGATTCTAATCTTGCTGATTCGCTCGAGAACTGGCTTTGGTTCAAGTTATTTGCTCTGAAGATTGATCCTCATTTAACCCCGGTTATTTATGCGGAAGTACAAAAGAATGTTTCCATTGATTATGGTCAGTCCGATTCTATTTCAATAAGATGAACTGGATTCCGGACCAATGTGCAACTTCCAGGCGAGACTTACTTCATGGCAGCCGGCACCTCTGAATTTCATTACTACTTCACAGCCCTTTGGCTTTCTGGTCAATTTGAACGGGCCATCAAGGTAAGGCTTGCAATAATAGTTATCCTATAGGCTTTCTAGAATGCAGGTTTTCTTGTCACGCCAACTAGTATAGCTTACTGCTAATATCAAACACGCTAGGCTTCCGTGTCAGGCTCCATTATCCGAGATTAGATCTTGACATACCCAAGAAATTTATCACATTTCAGGCTTCATTTGTATTCTCAGATCTCTATTCCACATCTTTTAGTTACTCTTCGACTGTGGCCACATTTCTGACGCTGTGCATGTCGCCATTCTCACCAATGAAATGGGATATTTACGAAACACTGCCAATGCCGCAGCAGACATGCGTAAGTAGGCTTTTTCCAACAGTTGGCCGCTTTTTTACTTGAGTCTGTTCTTCTGTACACGTTAGTTAGCTGCTAAGATTCCCTGAAAATTTCATTCTCCTGTTTGTTTTTAGTAGTGACGGATACTTCACAGCTCACGAAATGCTCTTTCAACATCGCTCGTTTGTTGGTCTCCTACACTAAAGAGTTCGAGTTAGACGACGTTGGGAGAGCTATGGATTACTGGTTTTTCCTGAAGGCAAGATTAATCAATTTTTAATGCTTCTGAAGGAACAAAGCAACCTTCCACACTCATTTTGTCTTTAGGGATTACAAACACCTTCTGGTAGCGATGTATTCGAAATGGCAGTCAGTAGAGCAGTTTATCTCACAGGCCAAGCAGAGGCAATCATTGGATCTCTTGGACCAGATGGTAAACGGACTCCGGCCTTGATCGATGAGTAAGTTGAGTTTGGAAATTTTTGGTTGCGGTTTTAGTATGCGTTTACTTTATATCTCACAACTGCACCAACTTTTTATGTGCTATAGACACAATTTTTCTGACTACCGTTATGTTGGTGAACTAGATTGTAGCGTACTGAGCGTCTCAGCGTGACTACAGAGCAAATATACGCATGATGGAAAACGTACCTTTGTCTCAGAGAAATGTACGATATCTATCTAGTCCATGCTCGAATTGCCTGACGGTCGCAATGGTGTATGGTGTGTGTATAATATTTCTGTATTTATTTATGCACAACAATGTTTCTAGGTATGTGGACGATTGTAACTATATCATAAGCCGTGTTGCTCATGACACAGAACTGGGAGGAGATACAACTCAAGCTGTAAAGCTGTACATGTTAGCGAATGCTCCTGTTAGAGCAGTGGAACTGTTGTGTACTGAACTTAGCGATGCAATCAGGTGAGTCGAATTTTTGTGAGGTCTGTTGATGTGTTTTGTTTTTGAACTGTCAGATTCGTTTGCAGGGTCAATCGGACGAAGATGAACGAATTACGTCAGCTGGCTGAGGAATTCGTTTCGTGTAAGTTTGCTGTTAAGAGGAGTGTATCTCATGAGTACTATTTTGAGCTGCTACTTTGAGTTTATCAACGAGTCTTTAGCCCAGGGCGATGTACGAGCGAGCGTGCTGTCCACACTGTGTATTATCTTAGACATTTGTACTTTGATAGATCTATGCGAATCTGGTTTAGCAGACAAAGCTTTAAGGTGAACTTTTGATTGATAATATTCAAGTATATAGCGTGCTTGCTTTGATAACCATGATTTTAGTGTCTCACAGCAATTACGGTTAATTCCTTTGGATGCAGATCAGGTACCGGTGGTTGTAGGCGAATTCCACCTCATACCGCAGAAGGTAAAGTGAAAGTTTGCATTTGTTTGATAATTTTCTCTATTGGTTTTACTTATTTCTGATTCTTAACACTTTTTCAGGTGCGCGAGGTGATACCTGATCTCTGTCTCCATCTTATGCGTTGTATGATTGATGCAATTCATGCTTCGACATCTGTAAATGTACGGTACTCTAAACAAGTAAGTTACAGTCGAAGTTATATTCTCTATGAGTGACAAGGCACGTCTTGTATGCATGGGTTTGATTTGCGATCCCTAACCTATTTTTGGTACTCATTTGATACCCCAGCGAGCTGGTGTTGTGGCAAGTAGCGCCGATTACCACCCGCACGGTCGGAAATCAATTCTCTGATCGTTCGTCGTGCAGGCCAAACAATTATTATATCTTTGTGTAAGTTGCTGAGTTGGTTTCCGACTGTATGGGAACATAAGAAGCACTTGCCCACGGGCTTCCACTCCTCAAGCCATGGTTAAGGCCGAATCGCATTAAAATACCATTCTTTCTGAAAGAAATTCGAATGCGCGGCGCATCGCGAAAAAGGATTGATTGCCCTCCAATGTGCTTGTGCTTTTAAAAATATTGTTCTATCGGGAATAATAAGTTGATTTTCTTTACAATGAGTTCAGGTAAAAGCCATCATGCTCTACGCAGCGACAGTCAATTATGAGTTCCCTCAGCACATCACATCAAAGTTATTACAACTACAAGCATCAGTCGCTGTATGACAGCATTAGTAGTCATGTTGCCGCCTTCCGTTGTTGAATTCACTGTGTTCTTCACTAGGCTTGAGACGGATGCTGTTCAATATCTTCTCGATTTTGTTTTGTTGTTGTTGCTGAGAATTTTTGATACGTTGTTATGCATGTGATGTTTTCCGTCTTCAGTGATAGAAGACATGATCTTGACTTTAGACATCTGAATCCAGTTTCGTTTTTCTATGGTCGTATTTTTACACAGCTGGAGTAAATGGTTTTTATAAGGATTTTTTGTGTGAGGTGAAATGGTTGCATACCGCCATGAATTACTTGGCACCTCCATTTTTCTGACATGATGTCTATTTTCTTTTGGTCCATTCTCTTTCCTTTTTTGATGGTCTTACAACTGCTTGCTCTCAATCTTCGT